CCGCGACCCTCTCCCGGCTGGAGAAGTGACGCGCACCTATGGCAGGAGCCTCCATAGGCGCCCGTCACCTCTCCAGCCGGGAGAGCGTGCGCGGGGCTAAAGAAGCCCCCCGCGACCCTCTCCCAGGTGACGCGCGCCTATGGCAGGAGCCTCCATAGGCGCCTGTCACCTCTCCAGCCGGGAGAGCGCGCGCGGGGCTAAAGAAACCCCCCGCGACCCTCTCCCGGCTGGAGAAGTGACGCGCGCCTATGGCAGGAACCTCCATAGGCGCCCGTCACCTCTCCAGCCGGGAGAGCGCGCGCGGGGCTAAACCAGCCCCCCGCGACCGTCTCCCGGCTGGAGAAGTGACCCGCGCCTATGGCAGGAGCCTCCATAGGCGCCCGTCACCTCTCCAGCCGGGAGAGCGCGCGCGGGGCTAAACCAGCCCCCCGCGACCCTCTCCCGGCTGGAGAAGTGACGCGCGCCTATGGCAGGAGCCTCCATAGGCGCCCGTCACCTCTCCAGCCGGGAGAGCGTGCGCGGGGCTAAAGAAGCCCCCCGCGACCCTCTCCCAGGTGACGCGCGCCTATGGCAGGAGCCTCCATAGGCGCCCGTCACCTCTCCAGCCGGGAGAGCGCGCGCGGGGCTAAAGAAGCCATAGCCCCGCGACCCTCTCCCAGCTGGAGAAGTGACGCGTGACTATGGCAGCAGCCTCTGAAGGATGCACCGAAGCCTGGCGTGGGGGGGGGGCGGAGAGACCTTCTCCCCGCGCCAGCCTTCGGATGGCTGTCCTGAAGACTTGGGGTGGGAGAAGGGTTTTCCTTCCCACCGCCAACATTCAGAATGCTGTTCTGAATGTTGGCGGTGGGGAGGAAAAACCCTCCTCCCACGCAAGCCCCGGGAACAGAGGGAAAGCGCTGCGCGCCTTCCCCTCTGTTCCCGTACCTGTGCTGAAGGCTTGCGGTGGGGAGAAAAGCCCTTCTCCGCACCGCCAGCCTGGCAAGCGGTTTCCCTAGGAACGCATTAATTGATTTTCAATGCATTCCTATGGGAAACCGTGCTTCGCAAGACGAAAAACTCGCAAGAAGAAAAAACTTGCGGAACGAATTAATTTCGTCTTGCGAGGCACCACTGTACATGGAATCCAGCTAACACAACATATTTTACCTCCACAGCTACAAAAGCATTTCAAAACAGTACAGCTTGATACTCTTATAGTATGTTCAATTTGAATGGGCATTCATTCACAGATTCTGAAAAATATCCACCCCTAAATTCACTCAAAGTCCTTTCAGTACTGCACGTTCTCTTTAATATGTCAAAGTAAAAAATCTCAAAATAAAAAGATTATATTTTGCCACTGAACAAGAGATGGACTGTATACTGTATCTGCACCATTGCCTTACTCTTCATTTTTAACTGTTTTTATATTTGAAGATACTGACCTGAGTTTTCTGTGCAATGTTAATCTCAGAAAGTTCCACGTAGGCAGATCATACAGAATGAGCACAAGAGCAAATAAACTTGGCCAATAATAATACTGCCGAACTAAATGCTTTGTGTGGTCAAACCAGGTATTTCTTAAAACAAACAAATCGGGGTAGATGCAGAGTGGTATGCTTATGCCCATACCTGAAAAAATGTGGAGAAAGGCTCCTCTTAGAAATTGCTGCCTTAACCTAGAAATTCATTGCCACTATGATGCTCAGCCCTTAACCCAGGGTAAAGCTATAGTTCAGCAGTAGAGCATCTACTTTGCATGCATAAAGTCCCATGTTCAATCCCCGGCATCTCCAGTTAAGGCCGGGAATGTCCCACCTGATATCTTGGAGAGCCACAGCCAATCAGTGTAGAAAACACTCAACTAGATGGACCAATGGAGAGACTCAGTATAAGGCAGCTTCCTATGACCTATGTTTTAAGTAACGTTAACAAAACCAGCTTAGGCATATTAATATTTGACATCATTCTCTGTTGTTGTTTTTAAAAAGCAACCCACTACAGCTGCCTGCAGTCTTATTTACAGTATACTGAGGATTGTTTGATTCAGTAAGTTTCACTGAAATCAATGGAACGTAAACCTACTTAGGATCACACTATACAATCTTTTTTTACCTTTGCATGTGTTAATCCTGAGTAATAAAGTTAAGCCTTCTTGGTTTTAAATTCTTATTTTCATTGACTTCTAGCTGAACGTTCACAATTTGCACAGAGTGGGAGCAGCATCTTCTAGGACTACCAGCAGGCTGGCTTTTTTAAAAAAAAACAAGTTTGCATGTTTTTCTAATGGCCAGACCAGCTACCAGCACAATATTAAACTTTAACTTTAATCCAATGAAAAATTCATTTCCAGGTGCATGGACAAATGTCTTAGGGAAGGAATGGGTGTGGCACTATTTATCACACATTAGAACTTTGCTTCTAGCAGCCAACTTGCACACTGCTCCATCCTTAGCCATGCATTGCCCAGCCTAACCACCAGCTTGGCCCAGGAGCAACATCAAGGGCTAGGTAAAGGTAAAGGTACCCCTGCCCGTACGGGCCAGTCGTGTCCGACTCTGGGGTTGTGCACCCATCTCGCTTAAGAGGCCGGGGGCCAGCACTGTCCGAAGACACTTCCGGGTCACGTGGCTAGCGTGACAAGCTGCATCTGGCAAGCCAGCGCAGCACACGGAAACGCCGTTTACCTTCCCGCTAGTAAGCGGTCCCTATTTATCTACTTGCACCCGGGGGTGCTTTCAAACTGCTAGGTTGGCAGGCGCTGGGACCGAGCAACAGGAGCGCACCCCGCCGCAGGGATTCGAACCGGCGACCTGACGATCGGCAAGTCCTTGGCGCTGAGGTTTTACCCACAGCGCCACCCACGTCCCAACATCAAGGGCTACCACCCAACAATAGGAGTGTGGAGGTTCTGCCAAGCCAACACCATGCAGACTGACAGCAGCAGCACAGGCCAGTACTAGTGGATGAGGAAGAAAGGCCACAGGGCAAGGCTCAGTGGTGGAACACATGTTTTGCATGCAAAGAGTTCCATATTCAACTCATGGCATCTCCAGGTATGGCTGCAAAGGACTCCTGCCTTAAAAACAACAATCCTGCAGTCACTGCCAGTTAGTGTTGGCAATACTGAGCTACATGGATCAGTGGTCTGACTTGGTAGGAAAGCAACGGAGATGGCAGAGGACTGAGTGTTGTGGGTGAGAAGTGTGAATGTGCCACTTTGTGAGGCATCATGTTGATAGGTTTGGGGGGGGGAATGTGGCACCTTGTATGGACTATGATACTGCACAATAGTCACTAGGATATAGTTTATTTCTTGTGGTTCACCACTGATACTTGCTTGACCAGTTTGGTCCATGACAATCTTGTGGCTGAAAGAAGCCTTTTAGCCTCAGGAAATCTAATAATTTCCCTGCAGTGAGAAAAAGCTGCCAAACACACACACGCAATCAAACAAGGTTAGTCAGTGTCATTCACCGAGAGGAACTTGGCCTTTCTTTTTTATACACCACCAACCACAGTTTTTAGGAGGACATAAATGCAAAGCACTCTTAGGTTCCAGGGATCCATCAGGTGGGGTGGACAATGTGCATCTTCTGCAGGTATGTGGAACCTCTGTGCATCCCTGCGGCAAATCAGAAGAGATTAGCCCATTCCAGCTCAGCTGTATTTTTTTTTAATATTCCCTCAAATTGTGAGAGGTAGATGAGCACTAACTATGCCAAAAGACTTGGCAGGTCTACAGAAGGTCAATTGCATTGTCAGAGTGACATGAGCGTGGCTGGGAGATCCAACTGGTTCTAGGCAGTGCTTTTTTTTCTGGGGGGACTCATGGGATCCGCATAAACATTTTGTGAATCTAAGTTTGGCCTCATTGAGGGGCAGTATTTCAATATGAGTAGGAAAATGAGAGTACCCCTAAACATTCTTTTTTTTGGGGGGGGAGCACTGGTTCTAGGTCAGGAGGGAGGGAGCCATCATCATCCAGAGCATAAAGGTAAAGGGACCCCTGACCATTAGGTCCATTCGTGACCGACTCTGGGGTTGTGACGCTCATCTCGCTTTATTGACCGAGGGAGCTGGCGTACAACCTGCAACTAAACAGGGATGATTTAAGCAGGTCCATGATGGGCCACGGGATCTCACAAAAGAGACCTGCGCTAGGTGTCCAAGAAGCAGCTAAGTGGACCTGTAATGACTTTAAACGGCGGGGGTGGGGACGACAAGTGCACCCTTGGTCATGTGGCCAGCATGACTAAGCCGCTTCTGGCGAACCAGAGCAGTGCACGGAAACGCTGTTTACCTTCCTGCCGGAGTGGTACCTATTTATCTACTTGCACTTTGACGTGCTTTCAAACTGCTAGGTTGGCAGGAGCTGGGACCGAGCAACGGGAGCTCACCAACCGCCAACCTTCTGATCGGCAAGTCCTAGGCTCTGTGGTTTAACCCACAGCGCCACCCACGTCTCTGTCATCCAGAGCATAGCTGTCAACTTTTCCCTTTTCTTGCGAGGAATCCTATTCGGAATAAGGGAATTTCCCTTTAAAAAGGGAAAACGTTGACAGTTATGATCCAGAACCTCCACTCCAAATACAGTCCCCATTTCCTCCCCTCTTCCACAATCTTGGAGTCAAAGGCAAGCCTGCAACTAAACAGGGATGATTTAAGCAGGTCCATGATGGGCCACGGGATCTCACAAAAGAGACCTGCGCTAGGTGTCCAAGAAGCAGCTAAGTGGACCTGTAATGACTTTAAACGGCGGGGGTAGGGACGACAAGCGCACCCTAACAAATGATGCTGAAGGGCAAGGTTTAACAACACACATCCCCTCATCTTTCCCCTTTTTGTTTCCCTGGCTTACAGCTAGTCGCTCTTCCTCCTCAGCTGAGATTTCTTCCTCTCCACTCTAACCTTCCCCCCCCCCCGGGCTACCTCACCACCCTAAAGCAATATGGCCACCGCGGCGCATTTCAACGCCCTCCCCTCCGAAGACAAAAGGACGCGTGGACTTCGAAACAAACCAAGATTGGCAACAGGGCCTAGCCAATCGCGAAGCTGAGCCCTTCCGCGGTGGCCAATGGGAGGCAAGGAAATCGAGCTGGGCAAAGCGTCCCTTGAGCAAGCCCCGGCCTTCGCCAGCCTGGCGGGCGCGCGAATTCCTGCTAGGTCGGCCGTTAGCTGGGGGCTGGCCAGGCGCGTGCGCTCGAGTGTGGGAGGGGCCGGCTGCGCCGCGGCCGTCGAGTCTCCCTCCGTTCTGTCCCCTCCTCCCCACCCCCCACCCCGCGCGGATCCCGCCAAACACCGGCCAGCGCCTCAATACCTTCACTGAACGTGTCGGCTCCGCCTCCTCCTCCTCCTCTAATGGCGGGCGGGTTCTCCGTGTCCGAGGGACGCCCCCCCTCCTCGTTCGGGCGGGGACGGGTCCGCCTCTCCCTCCCGTCCGTGTCAACCCAGCCCGATGGAGGAGGCGGCAGACCTGACTTTTGCTCTGAAACGGGGCAGTTTGAGGACAGAAATAAAACCACGAGGACAGAAATAAAACATGCAGCTCTATCTCTACTGCGAACCGTTTTCTTCGAAGCACCCCCTCGCCTCCCAACAGAACTTAACTTCTTGTCCAAAGACCTGGAGAAACCTTCCCCAAATATGTGGGCGGCGTTGTAAGAAAAACGGCCCTCGGCACATGCTCAGAGGCACTTCGCCTGCGCCAGAAAAGGGTCCCGGGCAGGGCCGGTGCTATCGTGAGGCAGTCGCCCAGGGCACAGGCTGCAGGGGGAGTTCATATAGATCCGCTTGGGTCATGTCCTATAAATATCTAGTAAGATTTCACTTCTGTTTTACATTTTGAAGAATTTCTATTATATCTGCCAGACATCTGTTTCTGAAAATTGAAATCGGCAAAAAGTAATTTGGGGGGATAGCAGGCTGGCGGGCGTAGAAAACAGCCTGGCCCAGAATCAGGGCTAAGCCTTCATTAACCCTCAGAAGTTATAATGATCAACGTTATAATATAAAGTGGTGTCCAGCAGTGTTTTGGAGTTTTTATGATCACTGCAGTCCCGGGCTGGGGGGAGCTTTTGTTCTGTTTATTTTAATAATAATAATAATAATAATAATAATAATAATAATAATTTATTATTTATACCCCGCCCATCTGGCTGGGCCTCCCCAGCCACTCTGGGCGGCTTCCATAAAAACCACAAATACAGTAAAATATCACCCGTTAAAAACTTCCCTTAAGATGTCTTCTAAATGTCAGGTAGTTATTTATCGCTTTGACATCTGCTGGAAGGGCGTTCCACAGGGCGGGCGCCACTACCGAGAAGGCCCTCTGCCTGGTTCCCTGTAGCTTTGCTTCTCGCAATGAGGGAACCGCCAGAAGGCCCTCGGCGCTGGACCTCAGGGTCCGGGCAGAATGATGGGGGTGGAGACGCTCCTTCAGGTATACTGGACCGAGGCCGTTTAGGGCTTTAAAGGTCAGCACCAACACTTTGAATTGTGCTCGGAAACGTACTGGGAGCCAATGTAGGTCCTTCAAGACCGGTGTTATATGGTCTCGGCGGCCGCCCCAGTCACCAGTCTAGCTGTCGCATTCTGGATTAGTTGTAGTTTCCGAGTCACCTTCAAAGGTAGCCCCACGTAGAGTGCATTGCAGTAGTCCAAGCGGGAGATAACCAGAGCATGTACCACTCTGGTGAGACAGTCTGCAGGCAGATAGGGTCTCAGCCTACGTACCAGATGGAGCTGGTAAACAGCTGCCCTGGACACAGATTTGACCTGTGCCTCCATGGACAGCTGTGAGTCCAGAATGACTCCCAGGCTGCGCACCTGGTCCTTCAGGGGCACAGTTACCCCATTCAGGACCAGGGAATCCTCCACACCTGCCCGCGTCCTGTCCCCCAAAAACAGTACTTCTGTCTTGTCAGGATTCAACCTCAATCTGTTAGCCGCCATCCAACCTCCAACCGCCTCCAGGCACTCACACAGGACCTTCACTGCCTTCACTGGTTCTGATTTAAAAGAGAGGTAGAGCTGGGTATCATCTGCATACTGATGAACACCCAGCCCAAATCCCCTGATGATCTCTCCCAGCGGCTTCATGTAGATGTTGAAAAGCATGGGGGAGAGGACCGAACCCTGAGGCACCCCACAAGTGAGGGCCCAGGGGTCTGAACACTCATCCCCCACCACCACTTTCTGAACCCGGCCCAGGAGGAAGGAGCGGAACCACTGTATAACAGTGCCTCCAGCTCCCAGCCCCTGAAGACGATCCAGAAGGATGTTATGGTCGATGGTATCAAACGCCGCTGAGAGATCCAGCAGAACTAGGAAACAGCTCTCACCTTTGTCCCTAGCCCGCCGGAGATCATCAACCAGTGCGACCAAGGCAGTTTCAGTCCCATGATGAGGCCTGAATCCCGACTGGAAGGGATCCAAATGGTCCGCTTCTTCCAGGCGTGCCTGGAGTTGTTCGGCAACCGCTCGCTCAATCACCTTGCCCAAGAATGGAAGATTTGAGACTGGGCGATAGTTGGCCATCGTGGCCGCATCTAAAGATGGTTTTTTAAGAAGCGGTTTAATAACCGCCTCTTTCAGCGGGTCTGGGAAGGCTCCCTCACGGAGGGAAGCATTCACCACCCCACGAAGCCCATCGCCCTAAAAAAATGTTGATACCTAAAAAAATGTATCAACTACTTAATATAAAAGATGCCAATATGGTATGAAAATAAATATTGCACAGCACATAGTAATTTAGAAACAATGTAATATCATAAACATGTAATTAATAAAACCACTTAATAATTTTTATTATTATTTTTAAATGTATAGTTTTAATTATTGTATATTGGATATGGTATTCCAGGGGAAGTACGTTCCAGGTAGCAGGTGCCACTACACTAAAGACCCTGCTCTGGGCAGCCACAAACTGAATTGCAGGAGCACCATCGGGAAAACCTCACCAGATGACCGAAGCCACCACGCAGAAGCCTTCCCAAAGTGCCCCATGTATTTCCCCTCATATATCAGTGAATATTTACGTCTCATTCCTAGGGGGGAAATGCCTTGGTGCAAAAATGGTTCTCCAGCCCTGACACTGGGTGGTCTGGTCCTTGCCGATACAGATGTCGATGAGGGTGTACACAGTGCATCTTTGTGTAGAGATACAAATGGTATGTTTTTGTGCAATATCTCCACACACAACTGTCTATATAATGATGGCTGCATCATCATAATTATTATACAGAGTATACCTAAAATTTTCTTTGTACTGTTGAGAGATGAAAAGCAACACAGTCGCTATCCATGGGTTTGCAGACTTGATAAACACAATGCAAAAAGGATGGAGGGGGAAGACGAAAACAAGAAATGAGTAATAATTGGAAAAGGAAAATGGAAGAGAATGACTGTGTTTGTAGGAAATAGGCGGAACCCTGAACAGGAACGATCCTTTTAGAAGGGAGGATGCAACGCACATTCTGTTGGAGGGCTCACTTGTGATTACTAGGAGACAGGCACTCTCCAATGGCTGATTAGTACGCATACATGAAACAAAAATTTTCTTTTTTAACACCATACAAGATTATTCCTGTTGTTGTTGTTTAGTTGTGTCCAACTGTTCGTGACCCCACGGACCAGAGCACGCCAGGCACTCTTGTCTTCCACTGCCTCCCGCAGTTTGGTCAAACTCATGCTGGTAACTTCGAGAACACTATCCAACCATCTCGTCCTCTGTCGTCCCCTTCCTCCATCTTTCTCAACATCAGGGTCTTTTCCAGGGAGTCTTCTCTTCTCATGAGGTGGCCAAAGTATTGGAGCCTCAGCTTCAGGATCTGTCTTTCCAGTGAGGACACAGGGCTGATTTCCTTAAGAATGGATAGGTTTGATCTTCTTGCAGTCCATGGGACTCTCAAGAGTCTCCTCCAGCACCATAATTCAAAAGCATCAATTCTTTGGCGATCAGCCTTCTTTATGGTCCAGCTCTCACTTCCATACATCACTACTGGGAAAACCATAGCTATACAGACCTTTGTCGGCAAGGTGATGTCTCTGCTTTTTAAGATGCTGTCTAGGTTTCGGGGGCTCATTCACACTTCTCTTGCCTGGTGCCTAGAAAGCATGGTCCACTAAGTTTTCTGCTTGCTTCTCCAGGAAAACCTATCTGCAGCTGAATCAGAGCAAACATCAGTCCATGGAAAACCCGACTGACTGACGTTTGCTCTGATTCAGTGGTAAAGAGCAGGTTTTCCCAGGGGGAAGCAGCAAGAAAGTGGAAGTGTATGGATGAGCCTTTGGTTTCAATACTCAAGATCATCTGAGAAATTAGCTACCGCTTAACATCCTTTAACCACCCTGTCACCCACTGGATGGCAAAAGCTCTGAGCTCCTTGTAACTTCAGTGTAAACTTTTAAATGAATGAGCATTGTAATCTATATGTGAATACTGGCCACTCCTGATGCTAATTCTTCTAGGTGCAAGAGTGTGATTTTTTCATGTTTGGTGTCAAGGTAGAGTTCACCACAAGTTTTTTGGGGTGGTGTTTTTTTTTATGCATTGACTTTGATTAGTCATGTTGAGGATATACGTTGACCTACATAAGTTTATTTCAAGGTTGGGGGGAAACCTAGGGCTTCTGCTTTCTTGGAGACAGCCTTGCATGCTGTACAGTGGTACATGTGTAGGTTCTGTTGACATTGAAATTGCACCTGCTGCTGTGATTCCATTCCTTACATCTTCGTGAGTATCTGCTGGACCTCAACGACTGTGTGAAAAGGTTTCTATCTTTACTGATTCTGGATAATTTGAAGAAGCATGAGTTAACTTTGTGATGCAAACACCTGTCTATTATGAAAGGAAGCTCATTCCATGTAGGCTTCCAACCAGGCATTGGAAACTTGTCCTCTTCAGCCACCTCGGCCTCTCTCCATTGGTGAGGGAAGGACAAAAGGCTCCATATTCCATTACCCGGACTCTGAGCCATCAAGTCTGCTCCTGCCCACTCCCCACTTTCTCTCTATTGATTTTATAGCATTTTGCTAAATGCTATCATCCATACAGATGTCTGCCATCATTTTGTTGACATAGCGAGTCAATACTTCATTAAATGTTACCTTTCAGCTTTACCCTTAATTGGCTAAAGTATATGTAGTGTTTTCATTATTTATGTGACTGTGCCATTAAATTATGCGTTTTAGAATATAAAAAAATAAAAGGTTTTGTTTACATTTATTATTATTGCTCTGGCGTCAACTTTTGGATTCCTATGTAAAGAAATTAATCTTCCTTTGGAGGGGGAAATGGGAGATGACAAGCACTAGCTCCTGCTGCCTCGGGGACATAATTATGCTCACAAATACAAAAACAGAAAAATCATAAGCTCAACACAGTTGAGACTCTTGAAAGTTTCATCTCAGCATGAAGCTATGTTTTAATTATTATTTTTGTCTGCATTGTTCAGATTGTCAGTGCACCAGATAGAATAAGTGCTTATCCTAGTTAATTCTTCATGAGACTCGTGTCACTGGAAGAAGCATTTAATTTATTTTCTTCTTCTTCTTTCTTCATGCCAGTACTGACAGAATTGTGTTTTACAGCTGGATTCAAAGCCTTGCAGTATCAGTGGAAAGATTCTGAAGCAAAGGTTTGGCCAGAGCTAATTTCAGAAGACTGGGATACATCCAATGAAAGTCTACAATTAGGGTTAAACTAGACATTTGCTTCATTGTTTAGGATGCAGCTATGTATCTGTTTTCCCTTAAATAATTATAAGTGTAGGAGTGTCTGCTTCTTACTGGGAAAGCAGCACATGGGAAGGAAAGGCTTATCTCTTCATTCCCCAAACATTATCAAAGTAGACTTTGCCTCCCTGCCTGCATGGCTAAGAGCATTAGGGTGCTTCTAGGTGGTTATTTATCATGTGACCAGTGTTCCTTACACATTGAAGTTTTTGACCTGCCCACACAACATGATTTTCATCAATATGCCAACCTGTATTCCCCCCTTCTAGTTTAATCCAGATTTACACTTTCTTGGGAAAATCCAGTGTTGAAAAACTTGGTTGCCAATAACCCATTTGCAATATCTCAATGACCTGTTAACCATAATAAGCCACCATCTGGAAGTGCCCATTGATTGTCTAGCTGGATTGGAAAACATTTGTGGCAGAAATGTGTTCCATTACTATAAATTAACATCTTACTCGTCTTCCAAGGAGGTTTAGAGCAGTGGTTTTTTTTACTCACAGCAAACAGTATAGGTTAGGCCGAGAGAGACTTATCTGCCCGAGGTTATCCCATGTACCTCTCGACTGAAGAGGGGTTTGAACCAGGTGATTCTTGCATCTAGTTCCCAATATTGCAGTTCAACAGAAAGGCTGTGTTTGTGGGTTGGCATCTTTACCAGCTGCCAGACCCTGCAGTGCCTTCTGCCCCCTTTCTCTGGAGGGAAAAGCCTGGAAACCAGACTGCATCACCAACAGCCAGACACCAGAAGATGCTGCAAATCAACAGAAGGGCAACTATACTGTCAGCCAGATCTGGAGCTCATCTGCAAATCCTTCTGCTCCATTCTTCTGGAATGACTTGTCTGTTCTGACAAGAAGAAAGGGCTTCACACGCACACACATATCTGTAATATATTGCATGATTGTGCAGACTTTAACTGTAAACTACTTTGGGAGCCAATCTTGCATGGAATGCACAGAATCATAGAATTCTATACAGTGGTACCTCAGGTTACATACGCTTCAGGTTACAGACTCCGCTAACCCAGAAATAGTACCTCGGGTTAAGAACTTTGCTTCAGGATGAGAACAGAAATCGTGCTCCGGCAGCGCAGCAGCAGCAGCGGGAGGCCCCATTAGCTAAAGTAGTGCTTCAGGTTAAGAACAGTTTCAGGTTAAGAACGGACCTACCAGGCATGTGTATGAAAAAGAAAGAAAGAAAGAAAGAAAGAAAGAAAGAAAGAAAGAAAAAGAGAGCAGTATTTTTGTGCACATGCATTTTTCTCCTGGTATACCGGAGTATATTAATGCGGACCATAAAACCCCTAGTATCCAAACATCTACTACTCATGTACAGGGTTGTCATCTCCACCTTCCGCCTGCTGTGGGTTTTGTATTAAACAGCTTCCTGACGTTTGGAAATTCCACAGTTGAAGCTTTTCCCTGTCTGCCTGTTATGTGGCTGTTTAAAGCGCAAGAGCCCTGCCAGGGGGAAAAGGTGGTGCAACAACTCACATTTTCTGACTCTCATATTAAAAAATCATGTGTAGACAGAATATTGCTCTGTTGGTCACAGTCTGAAATGTGAAAGTTCTTAATTAGGAGTGTGAGGAGAAAAATGCATGTGCACAAAAATACTGCTTTCTTTTTCTTTTCTGTTTTAAAGAAATGCCTTATAATATGTTGTTTAAAATCAGAAATCATACACATGCCTGGTAGGTGTATATATTCACTCTTGGGAAGGGAGAATCCTGTGATATTGCAAGCTGCATGATAGAAACTTTCTATTTCCAAAAGTGGCTTGCCATAGGGCATGGCAGAGCTCCTATTTGGAAAACAAAGTATCCCAAAATGCCTTCATTTTGTGGGAAAATCATTGTATGAACCTTTGGATCCTGACCAGATCCCTCCACGCTCTTCCAATTTGTGTGTGTGTGTGTGTGTGTGTGTACTGCCTTTATACATAGGAGACGATGCTATGGGCCAAGTGCATAGCCTTTAAAGATGTCTATTTTCCTAGAATGAATGTTTTTACTGTTGCAGTTTTATAGCCCATAGCCTTTCATACCCCTGTGTTAATCATGCAAGTGATATCATAAAAAGTAACTTTCGGTAAGTTTTAATCACATATATTTCAAACCTCAAAGAGTGCTCAGGCAATGCATTTTAAAAAGCCACTAGTACACTGCGGTAGTGTGTGATGAGGAGATGCTACATTTATTTTAAGAGAGAGAGAGAGAGAGAAATCTGTATTTCATTTGTTACCCTGCTAACTTCACTTTAGGTAATTGCATTCAGCTTTATTATTGCCCAGAGCAATAACTGATTGTTAGTTATTGAAGTCTGAAATGATTTTCTCATCTCCCAGGGGAATCTGGAGATTTACATGGTGCACAGCAGTAACTAATAGATATAATCTGGTCATAATGTAGCCAAAGAATGTGTTATTTACTTGTTGAGAACATGGATGTTGAACATTCTAACATTTCCTCAAGAAGTGGAGCTGATTGTACTCATAATATGTGTGTTTTGTACATACTGTTCATTGCTTTTTTTTTTAAGACTTGAATATACTATCCACCACTGAAAGGTATGTCATAAGCAAAAATGCATTTTGACATATGCACACTTACCCGGGAGTAGCTCCTATTGAATTCAATGGGACTGACTTCATGCTAGACATCATAGGATGAAAGAAGTTTGTGACGCAGTTTGTACTTAAATAAATAGATTTGCATTTTTGTATCAATCAATAACCGACAGTGCAATACAATAAAATTAATCTGTTTACATTAGCATTTTTTTATAATTTAGCATGTCTTATTAACACCTTAATATATTAATTAGGATCCATAGCCAATGAAGGATTTGCCATGCTTAAGACATTGA